CTTACTCTTCCCGAGACCCGATCTGAAACTGCAAATCTTCGAACAAATCCACGCCCTAATGGACACAGTTGGACTAAGTAGAATAGTGAAGTAAGAGGGGGCCACGGTTAGACGGGCTCGACATCTAAACACTAAACTACATAGGGGATTTATACCAAACTGGCAGGATAGTGGAGTAAGGGAGAGTCACGATCAGATGGACTCGGCATCTAAACATTATTTCGGCAAAAAATAGACATCAAACCTACAGAGTGGGATAGGGGAGTAAGGGGAGGTCAGGATAAGACGGGCCTGGCACCTAAAAACAAATCCCACAAAGATGACATCAACCAAACTAGCAGGATCGTGGAGTAAGGGGAGTTACGGTCAAACGGACTCGGGACCTAAACACTATTCCGCAAAAGAAACAGATACCAAACCCATAGAGTGGGATTGTGGAGTAAGGGGAGGCCACCGTAAGACGGGCCTGGCACCTAAACACTAATCCCACTACGAAGACATCTACCAATCCAGAAGCAGAAGAAAACATCTACCAATCGATATGTTTTTTACTAAATAAAGGGATGAACTTCCCACAAAACCCAATCCATGGCCTAAGGCCGAAAATGGAAAGATTGCAAAATCATATTCTAAAAACAGGAAGCAGCTTCGGCTCTCCTATTTCTTGTCTGCGATATCACTTATGTGGAAGCAGACATAAAACACCAGGATATACTACTACCAAAATACTTGACGTAAAATGGTTATTTTCAGTTAAATTCTAAATAATGAACAGGAAACCATGTCATCGATAAAATAATTAATAGTGATATGTATCACGTGAAAAAGTCTGCCTTTCCTATAAAACTAATTGTTGATTCGTACACGGACATGGTTTGTTTTTATTTATTATCGATTTTAAATACCGTTTATTTCCTGCAAAAGAAGTGACTAATTCACATATGGAAAAGTTCAAAAAAGTTGGAAGAAAATGAATTGAGAGTGCATAATTTTTCGAGACATTAGCGACTATATAAGCCAATAATGACAGCAGTTACAAATACATGTTAAACGCTATACTATCGACTTTCATCAGATCAGGTGATAAAATACTATTTATTGATAGTTTATTTTATAGTTGGTGCAGGAATAGGCTGATTAGATCTAATAGGCTACCACATTTTGATGGGTTAAATTGGCATTTACTAGAAAAAATAACAAAATTAAGAAGTGAGCAAGGCGAAGCTAAGAAGTGACTCGATTTCTTTGCTTCGCACTAATTATTACTTGCCGTCTTGCCGCGACAGACCGATATTATTTGTCGTTTTGGCTTCGCTTCGTTAACGCGAAGTAAAAAAAGATCGAAAGGATAGCTATTGGATTCATTACAATTCTATCATTCTGTTAACACTAATAATATGAAATTTTGTGATGTAAGGTTCATAATAGAGAGATGAAGAAATATGCTTTACCTGATTATTCGAATAATACTTGGTGTATCCTTTACCTTACCAACAGGTGGGACACTTGTCCAGGGGGACGGAGCCTACAGGGAGCCGGAAATATGCGGAGTGATGTTTTTTTTTAATTATTGGTATGAATTAATAAAAAAAATACATTGTAGAAGATTGTAAAGTAGAAGAAAACCGGTGAGTTTTCTGAATGTGGTACCTAGCAGCGATTAGAATCGAATTCTGTCAGTCCACTGTTCTTTGAAAAATTTGTGAAATTAAAACTATAAACAACCTACGCGGCCCTTCACGCCGTGAGACCCCGAACCGTCCTCGTATCCCAGGGGAGGATCTAGGAATTTTGAAAAGGGGGGTGGGGGCGCCGCAAAATGAGCGCACTGAAGGCGGAGACGGGGCACGCCGCTGAGAGGGGATTTTTTTTTTTGGGGGGGGGGGGGTCCCCCAAGAATTATCCGTCTTTTCCTTGCATCTGTAGCCATTCCAAGAGCTATTTGGCTGATATTTTCGTCTAAGTAAACGTTCGGAAATCGTTGAAAAAGAGCCTTAAAATCGAGCAAAAAAGCCAGTTGAATATGCGGCTCGAAAATTGTAAAGGGCGAGCGAGGCATTATGATGGGAAAAAAGACGAATCTATTCCCTAGCCACTTCACTATTTAAGCCTTGTAACTTGTACTTTGTACTGTCCACACATGAAACAATGCTACATCAAGTTGCACTCATGCGCGTCGGTGATTGACATGAGTGTATACGCCGCCGATTCCACAAGATGTCTGTCTATAGTCACTCTATAGGATTAGGGCACCGTCAGCTAAACAACAAGAATTCGTTTGAAAGTGGAAGCATTAATTAGACCAGACTGGTGTGTTTGAATCGATGGTTTGAGTCATTTGGGATCCCTGCAACGGGTTGGGAACGGACCTGTTTGGGTCTGAGAAAAGGCACTTTCAGCAGTAAAAACGGGCACTGTCGAAAATTAGGGGGGGTCGCCCTGAAGCCGCCTCTGTATCCGGGCCCGGCAGGTAATCGTGGCCTAGCCTGTGCTTGTCTATAGAACGCTACAATGATGGTGAGCGCGCCAGTGATCATGCATGTGATTATGGATAGTTATATACATGTAGGCTGACTGGTATCCGATCATTCAAAGCAAAACTGAAAGAGAAACATTTACTTTCGTCTTCGTGCAGTTAGGCGCTAACATCTCTATGTTTTTCAATAATTTTGCCAATTGCGGACCTTTTGCCGATGTGATTCGTCACCAACATGCCCGGGAAAATCTTATTATCCTTTTGATCTGGCAATATTAAGCATCGAAAATGACTTATCACGTACCGTTAAGTTTTTTTAGGCTATTAATGAGTGCGCCCCCAAGTGTTCACGAAAAGTTCCGTTTGAAACCAGTTCAATATGGTCTGGGGTATTGAAAAAAATAGTTTATGTGATGAAAAAATTTACTTTTTGATATTTCTGTCTTCTGATAATCACGGTTTTTGTTTTTTAATTTTTTTTCCTGCATACAAGTTCTTGTGAAAATCGTGTACATCCGATTATTATACTATTCAAAAAAAGTAGGGGATATTTGATTTTGGGGGCATAATACTAAAATATGCAAATGACTACGAAAAAAGTCACTATAGAACCTAACAGAAGAAACATTTCCAGTTACATGTGACGCCCAAACGCACCAATAGCTACCGCATGGAATGCAGGTGATGCTTGGGATCATCATGGGGGTCCAACCCAAGATTTGCACGACTCTGACTTTGAATGTTACAGTCATTGTGGCATTGAATTACAGGGGGGAAACATCAGTTTAATTGTTTTAGTGACCAGAAAACAAATTTTGATATGCGTCGGCTTACCCAAAATGAAAGGTTACGTGCCCTTGGCATGCTACAGATCGGCACAACACAGGCGGTTGTGGCGCGGACGATGAATGTTTCTCAGTCTGTCATAAGCAGGCTATGGTCCAGATACCGTGATACACAATCTGTACAGGACAGACCACGCTCAGGTCGACCAAGGGCGACAACTCAAGCCCAGGATCGATTTATCCGTACCTTGGCCTTGAGAAATCGTGTCATAACAGCAAATCAGATCAGCACTCGTCTTCAAACAGACACTGGTGTGAGAGTGAGTGGCCAGACGATTCGGAATCGACTGCATAGGGGTCACCTTCGCGCCCGAGCGTGATCCCTTGTTTGAGAGATCATCACATTCAGGCAAGACGTCGTTGGTGTAGGGATCGTCAACACTGGGATAATCGACGCTGGAGCAATGTGATGTTTTCAGATGAGTCAAGGTTCACTGTTGATTTTTTGGACAGACGTAGGAGGGTGTGGCGTCGTCGAAACGAGCGCTTCCAAGACGTTAACGTCATCAGACATAATCGATTTGGGGGTGGTTCTGTTATGGTGTGGGGAGGCATCACTGTTGCTGGAAGAACGGCTTTACATGTTGTTGCAGGGCGTGTTACAGGCCAGTACTACCGGGACAACATCTTGGCAGTCCATGTTGTGCCGTTCGCACGACGTCATGGCCGCCGTTTCATCTTCCAGGATGACAACGCAAGATGTCACAGGGCCAGGATCGTTACAGGTTACCTCCAACAACAGAACATCACCACATTACCTTTGCCAGCACTGAGTCCCGACCTCTCCCCCATCGAGCATGTCTGGGACATGCTTGGACAGAGGTTACGTCAACGTCAACAACGTCCTGCCAATGTCCAAGAACTTGCTGCTGCGTTGCAACCGGAATGGGACAATCTGGACCAAAATGACCTTAGACGTCTCATTAGGAGTATGCCACGTCGGATCAATGCTTGTTTGGCAAACAGAGGAGGATTTACCCGTTACTGACTTGGTTGTGATGCTGTGGTAACTTTGCTGTTTGACCCCGGGTATCATTTTACCCTTATAATGGTCAGTCTGTGCCTTACTTAGTCTAACGATCATTTGGAATAAATCGATGAACGTGAACTTCATTTCATTTTGTCATTTGTTTCTTCGCCAGTTTCATTAGGTGACTTTAATAACACTTAAAAATCAAATATCCCCTACTTTTTTTGAATAGTATTAAATCAGTAAAACTTTAACGTAGTATATGTACTTGGTACATGTATGTCATATATTGTGTTAAATCTCAGTTTCTGTGTTTTAAAATTTAACGGTGGTCTGTCTCTAACACACGCATCAAATAGTATCAAGTTTTCTACCCTAAAGATCATTTTGCATGGAAAGCGGCACTACGGCCTACTCATTTCACACGGGACCTTTACGCTGTCCAGCACCACTGACAAGGGGAAACCACGCCGGAAAGTACCAATGAACTTTATCGGCCAACACCGGGATCGAAAACGGGTCAGCGAGCCAACGTCTTACGCGAACCCGAAGAAAACCCATGAGGTTAGAAAGGCGACGTATACGCTGGGAATCGAAATTACGCCACTTGACTCAATGACAGACCTTATGATCTAAAGCACATTAAAACAAACTCCCCAAGTCGATTCAAAAAAATTATTTGTTAAATGATTATTATGATAAGCACCAGATTATGTTAATATATAATCTACAAACATTGAATACAACATGTTTGTCTAATGAAGTTCAGTCTGCATACTCTTTCAAAACCATGCCTTATATCGTTAGTATATTTGCTTACAGTAATGAGTCAATTCTGTTGGCATTACCCTACTTATGGGAAAAACACTCAAACTATTTGATCAAGTCTATCCTTGTACGCCGTATGATTTTTAAATATACCGGATGGGTAGGGCCTATAACCAAACAATCGGAAGTCATGCTCGTAGATATAAGGAATCATGCGAAGAAGAGATAATGGTAATTTACGGTATGCGGCTTCCATTGCGTCTCGTTTCTGCTTCCACCTCTCTGATCTACTGATTTTATGGGCTCTAACTTTCTTCATTACTTCGTCACAGAAAAGTTGTGCATCAACTAAGGTAGGCCGGAACTCAATTACTTCCGGAAATGGAGCGTTTGAGGAGATAAATCCATTCATTTGAAATACTTTCCATAAGCGTTTACAGAGAGTCAACAGATTCGTACATTTCTTGTTAAATTTTTCTTTTAATAATTGAAAGTTGTACTTTATTAGCATGTGTAATTCATCCTTCAAATACGAATGTGGTTGATTCTTTAACACACGCTCTAATCCGACTTTTCTTAATATATATTTAGCATCTCTGGTAAATGTTTCCATCGTTGAGATGAAATCCGGGTTAAACTTACATGGATTGCACAGTCGATTAATTGGAACCCAATGCTCATTACCACCGTAACCTCTACTTTCTGTTGCGATAACGTAGCTTATAAATTCTTGAAATGAAATATCGCCGGCACAGATCTTCCGTTGACCTTTTAAACCCCAAGGTTCCTTCATTCTTTTCCGTAGAATCACTTGACCGTGACTTCTCCAAAAATCGGGGAGGAAGAATTTATCGAGATACACAGCCCACAGCCTAGAATATGGATCCCTGGCCACTAACAAACGGTTGGTTTTGGACACAAAATATCGATCGGTCATGTTGGAGAAGGACAGGCGTCCCATGTTTTTGTAGGAACCATAATGGACAATCATACGATTTATCTTGAATGGGCTAATAATTCCACTGTTTCCGGTATCACCATTCAAAAATCTGAAGAAAAAAATATATGAAAATTGTGTTTGTTAAAAATAAAATTAATTAAAGACCCTACATTCCAGAATAAATTTTAACACCATTCATAAAGATAAATTCGTCCTATTTCGAATTTAGGTGGGGTTTAGTGGCCATTTAACCATGCTTGAATCGTTAGAACGCCATACAGTGCCTATCGGCCATAGGGTTTAATTTATCCTGAAAGGCACGAGCTTCAACTACGGGTGGGGAGGGCCTCCCCCAGAAATTTTAGAAAAACAGGCTGCCGGAAATGCAGCCTGTCAGTATTTCAGGCACTGATCGTTGAGATAAAGTGTCAAACGACCGATCCTCGACGAAGCCCACTCACGAGCGCCAAAGTAGGGAATCCTACAGCCTTTATATACCATATATTTACACTATTTGCGTACGAGGGGCGGCCATTTTATCTGGCAGTTTTGGTCCGATTTTCACGAAATTCGAACCTGTGTGCCATTTTAGTGGGACGGTGGTATCCTCAAACGTTTTTTTGAAATCGGATAATAATTGTGACCTCTAGAGCCAAGATCATAGGGCTATAAACATGCATTTTAAGTTTCATCAAATTCAGATGACAATTTTGATCTCTAGAGTGTCCACAAGCCTAAAAACGTGATTTTTCGTACAACCCGGAGCCATAATCCATGAAGTTATGGTCCGATATATGCTAATATCGAAAGGAACCGAGATCTTTGGGAGATAGACCTATATTTTAAGTTTCGTCAAAATCGAATAAAAATTGTGACTTGTAGAGTGTCCCCAAACACAGGGGACAGGGGCGACGATAATACACGTCCACATGAAAATGTGGGCGTATAAAAATAAATATATTGGCAATTTCCTTCAATTATTTTTTTAACTAAGGGAAGTTATCAGCGTTTAAAGTTTTGACAAGATGAAGCATAAATTGTTTCTTACCAATAGCGTTCAAATATAATATTAAAAGAAGAATGTACTGTTCGTTTAGTGTATAGTTGGTAGAATCATTACATACAAATGGTCGACAGTTATAATGTTGTTGAACTTGGTGTGCTATGACTTTATTGGAAATTCCATTCAATTATTTGTTTAACTTAGGGAAGTTATCAGCGTTTAAAGTTTGGACAAGATGAAGCATAGATTATTTCTTGGCAATAGCGTTCGAATATAATACATGTATTAAAAGAGGAATGTACTGTTCGTTTAGTGTATAAAGTGGGATCATTATTACATACATTCGTCGACAGTTATAATGTTGAACTTGGTGTGCTATAATTTGCTACACATGGGATATAATAAATCTTGTAATTTCTTAAGACAATTGCCTTCATGTATTTGGGAGGTTTGTCAAGATGGGAAACAGTGATAATATACTAAAACATTGAAAAGGATTGACCAGTACGAATTTTACTAAACAAGGTTAATACAATTATTTAGCTGCGAGGTCATTGACATAGGAATTTCACTAAATCATAGGCGTTTACCTCCTGATACTTTCGCCTCTAAATCGGTACTAAGAATCTAAGAATAACGATATCAACTTTTTCATCTCCTCTTTATAATGCCTTTTGCATGGTAATTATCGTTTACGTTTTGCTCAAGAATTATTATTTAGCTGCGAGGTCATTGACATAGGAATTTCACTAAATCATAGGCGTTTACCTCCTGATACTTTCGCCTCTAAATCGGTACTAAGAATCTAAGAATAACGATATCAACTTTTTCATCTCCTCTTTATAATGCCTTTTGCATGGTAATTATCGTTTACGTTTTGCTCAAGAATCGGAGTATGTCCTACTGAATAATCATGCTTCTCAAGCGGACTGATCAACAAGTAAGGATTATGAAAGTCACAAAGAGTTCTATTCGTCATCATTCTCTTCCATATAAACAAAGTGATGATGGTTACCCACCTGAAGATTCTCTTCCAGAATGTACAGCCAGCCTTAGGTACAACACAGTACGACAAGTTGGCGGCTTTATATATCATCAACCCCTGTACACGACCACTAGTGTCCAATAAACAGGCGTCTCTTATTCTTTTACGTCTGGTCGAGAAAATATCTTCCATGTAATTACTGTAATTCTGATCAACTTCTCGTATCGTGTTTCTTCCTTTAACCTGAAAATATGAACGGAAACGAAATGTTGTTTAACGTCTTGACCAATCTGATTAAAAGACCGATTTTCGTTAACTTGACAACAAATATAATTCAGACAGGCTTTGGTTATTTTTTCTAGATTTACGTATACAGTACTAGTTACTCTGGTAACAACGTTTACTATTACACATTGTTCAAATTTCAGCTCGCGATAGGCCAACAAATGTAATGGATTTAATATCACTGAAGTCAATGTGAGAAGAATTACTGGCCTAAATCCATATAGCGAGACTTTAATTGGAGAATGATAAACACGCAATACAACAAAGTGATAATGGATTGGAAGCACATAACTACCATTCGTAATTTCTACATTTCGCCGCTTCAGAACGCGAAAGTCGAAAACTACAGCACGCTATACAAGCCAACAGCCACTCAAAAATAGGAAATTAAGATATAAACACAACGCGATAATAGCCCCCATTGGTATTGTCTTGACTTCTACTTTTTGACTTGCATTTTAGCTTGTGTAGCGTGATGTCGACTTTTGACTATGTCATATTTTTGCATTTACCCATGTCATTAAGAAGGCGTCAGCACGCATACCAAGCCAAAATGCAACTCGAAAAGTAAAATTAGGAAATTAACACACCACGATATTTGCGACCTATCATTTTGGCTTGTTGTCGTGTTGTCAGCCACGAAAGTTGTTGTAGTGTCTAAATTTCAGGTCACATTTGAATACGTGTAATCAGGGCTCACACTGGTTATCATTTTTTTCCCCGCCAAAACGGATAACAATTTTTATATAAAAAAAAATCATATTTTTTCCCCGACAACTAGAATATTGTATCTGATAAAAAGTTAACATATAACAATTTAATTCATTATGTAGGTCTATTATAAAACAATTACCCCGTACTGGTATATACAGCATACAGCAACTTAAAAATTCTGTCTTTACATGTGGGTTGGGTGGTCTAGTTGTTTAACGCGTAAACGTGAAATCAAAAGGGCTGTCATTGAGTAAAGTGGCGTGGTTTCGACTCCCTTCTTGAACGTGCCAAGGAGTAGAGTCGCCTGTTCAACATTTTCTTATCAGAATCTATGATAAGCTGATATTTACACCTTTACACTATTTCTTTATCAGGGTGTGGTCTCATTGGCCAGAAATGCACCAGAATTCTAAGTTTGGCTCTAAACAAAAAGTGTTAGAAACACTTGAAATGAGCAACATACATGTAACTATTTATTTTTGAAAAATACCATTCTTACGATCATTTAAATGTCAACACAGGTGCAATTAAATCTCTCAGAACACATTTTAAAAAAGGTGGGGTAGGATGTTTATAGCCTCTATTAATTGAATGATAAAATGATTGACCTGGATAAAACAGTAGCACAATTCAGCCAACCCTTGTTTTGAACATTTTCTTCAAACCCATCTAATGTCCATTATAAGCACATACAGTGTTACCCATTTTCAATTTTCTGTTTGAAAGCTGGAGCATTTTCTAAATCTGACAAATTTATAGATTCCGTCTAAAATAATATATACCTATCAGACATAATAATTGTGTAGCAATAATATTTTCTGTAAGCTGAAAAAACTTCGATCAGTCAGGAGGTAATTGGTAGTTGATTAGCTAACCGGATGTGGACACTTCGCTTGACACGGCATATACTGAAAATGGACGTGGCCTGCCTGTTTGTTTGTCCTCCCAAACCGATCGCCATGTTTGTTCTACAAAATGAAAACAATTATGGCGGTTGTTTTGGGCGTTACCTTTTTTTAAAATTTAATTATTTCTGTAGTTTTGTAATCGGGAGTTCAGCTTTAATTCTACACAATCGTTAACTTTATATCTATGATTTATAACTCTATGTTTGTTATCATATCTATCTTTCATCATACTTTATTTGTTTGAAACATAATCATTATCATTAGAACGAGAATTACTGAACTGATTTGTCCGTGTTTCTCTACTTGTCACGAGACGAAATACTAAATCCTAGTTCACTTCTTGGTTTGAGAGTTAGGACATTTTTACAAAGACGTGTAATCACTTCCCAAATTCTTTGATCTAACAATACTTCGCAACAACCTGAAAGAATCATGTCAATCATATTTTGGAATCCTCCGGGAACATTCGTTAATCGAAAAGGACAATGCAAAGGGTGTTATAAACGTTGTACGTTCCTGTGTGGTGAGATAATGGATGATAATGCGTTAATCATGTCTATCTTTTTTTTTTTATAAAACAAGCTTTATGAATTGACCCCATTAAAGTTTCAATGTTCGGCAATGGGTATTTATTAGGAACAATGTTCTTGTTAAAGTCTAATCTTGTTATTCTTTCGGCGTGTAGTCACTACCGGTGAAAGCCCAAATTGAATGACGTACTTTCTTAATAATCCTATTGTTAAGTAAATCGTCAATTTCTTCATTCATTTCTTGTTCGAGAGCGAAAACAACTGGTCTGGTGTTTTTAGCAAATGGGAAGGCGTTATCGATGAGAACTGAGTGATAAAAGGTGTAACACAAATTGTCACAATCAAATCCACATAAGTCATCACCAGTAACTACGTAGAATCTTCCCTTAGTACGGTGACTCCCGCATCGAAAACATTAGTCTAAACCTTGATTATTTACCGGTTACTGTCTACGTTGATCGCGTCTGTATCTTTGTGGTGGTGGGCGTCGAAAACTTGATCTGCCACGGCCATTAGATCTATTTTGTTTTTGTTGTATTGTACCTGCAGCATAAAAAATTTTATCGCAAGAATTTTATCGCAAGAACTGCTTGACATCCTCGTCGCCATGTTATTTTGGCCAGGTATTTCGGTGGGTTTATTAAGATATTTACACCATTAGTAACCCTATTGTTGAAAGCATGGCATCGTTACAGCAAGTAGACCGCTCATCACGCGGCAACATGCACATATTCACGGAAGATAATTGTTGACCAAATAATAACGATTTGTAAAGACATCATTGGCCCCAATAAATAACTCCAGTGTGTCGTTATAGGCTTCCTAATAGATTTAAATAGCACTACTGAATAGAAGGTACAATATAATAACATCATATAAATCAACGGGGTAAGTTCTGCCATGGCCCCTCGAAATTTTACAACTTGCCCCGATGTGACCTTTACAATTAAATAGGCTTCGGTATCTTCACACACCAAAACTAAACCAAACCAACAGGCTAGAATTACAGCCATCTATAATGGTTATCATTTGCCAATTCGTCTCTCATGGAAGTCAACACGGTTAATGAACTACTGACTGTTCCAGGTGACACGTCGACTCGACCATTGCTTGCCATGTCTTCAATGCTTAATTAAAATGGCTAAAACTTAACGACGCACCTGGAATTCGACCAAGCAGAATACAACTTTTTTAAATAGCTATATACAGGAGGTAATATTAGTTTGCCCTTTGGTTCCAGACAAAAGTTGTTTGGCCCACTGACTTGAATGTTAAATTCATCTCAATCCGTGGTCTGTAACTTTTGGATAATTAATACAAAGTTTAAACCGATATTGTACTGATACGTGGTGGAAATTTGGAAGGAGGCTACAGGACATACTAAAAAATAACCAGACTCAGCCATTACCTTGAGAACTCTTGAACATTTAAATCTTAAGTTTCGGCTGGCACGATGATCAAATTAATTGTCTATGTAACCTAAGGATAAGGTGCTTTTTATACTTGATTTATAATTGACGACTTTTTTAGCGATGGAAAACGCCACTGAGACCGCTGGCTGTACTATTTCAGACTGCTAAAACCCTGACCGAAACAAGAAATGAAACAAAATGGGGTTTAACGCCCTACTGTTTTGCTCCGAACTGGGCTAATGAAGACGGGCATACGCCATAGTGTGCTATGAGGGAAATTTTGCCCGGACAGCGGCACTACGGCCTAATCTTATATCGAATTCCAGCTGTTAAAGGATCTTTTACGTGCACGCGAATGTGTATACGGGACCTCGTTTTTTCGTCCCATCCGAACGACTAGATAGCTGCTCTTGTCAGGCCCTCATGAATATTCGAAAGGTGGAAACTTGGTCATGTGGCACCTTTCCTAAAGATATCGACCGCGGACCATCACAGTTGGTAATATTTTGAAAGAATTTTCGTGTTTCTTTTTCTACTTGTTTTAAAGTTTTAAAGTCAATAGAAACACAGGAAAAGGGGATATTATCGTTTTGAGATAACCTGGCCTATTTATTTTTTATTTGACTGAAGTTTTTATTTTCTGAAAATCCTCCGTAGCAAGTGGAAATATGACAGAAATTGGAATGGGGTAGTATCCACGGAAGGTCAAATACTGGTAGACCACAAGGGCACATAATTTCTTTGTTTGTGTCCAGATCACAAGGGTTTTTTTTTACATTTTGTTTCTTCATATTTATTCCTGAGATATATTTTTATTTTTAAGTTTAATAATGCGTCAAGAATAGAGTTTGTGAACATCCCATAGTCATGAGACCAGTGGTTGACCCGTCATCTATCCATTTCGGTTTGACCTTTACGTACCGTGGTATGGTCAAAAATGCAATTTGAGCAGACGCCACAGAAAAGATAAACAATAAAAAAATATGGCAACTCTCTATGTGTGTCCATTTAAAAGATTGTGTATACATTTCAGAGCTCTGATAAATTTACATGTTTGGTTTTATTAACTTTTTACCTGTGGCATTGAGCGGCAATTACATTGACCCTATTTTTAAGATCCTAACACAAAAACTATACAGCAGATAATTTGATTACACCAAGTACATCTTGAACTTTCTTCCATTGCTGCAAATTTCATGGATCTACCTATAGTTTCTGAGATATTACTTACGGTCAGGTTTTTTCTCCTTTTTTTTATATAAAATGCCGTATTCTTTAGAGCCTGAAATTCACAATCTTCAAAATGTTATAACCATTTAATTTTCATTATATTTTCAAAATGTTTTTAGATTATTGAATCTACATAGTTACCAATTACAGTGACATTGCCATTTTAGATACTTTTATTTTCAAATATTGTGCCATCTGTCCAGTGACGGAAATGGAAACGGAAATGATACTGCTTGTATCTCCTTCACACTGTAATTATCAGCACCTGCAGGTTAAAATCATCTCCGGTTTCATAATAATCTAAACCATTAAACAAGAAAACATTATAGAAATCATTTATTTAGACAAATTATATCACTGAAATAGCTCCAACTATTACCATTATTCAAGGGGTTATATTTTCTAACATTCTTTTCTACTACAATATCTGAAACTAGTTTTGTGTGCCCCTCGAACGCGAATAAAAATGAAATTGAATAATGGTATCTATAAAATTATAAAGATATTGTATAAAATTTATACTTTATCTGAAAGGTTATTATACCATGCAATTCTAAGTAATTAACAAGAAGCCGTGTCATCTATAAGAATTAGCAGAAATGTATGGAATATCATTTCCGTTTCCACTTATGTCAAAAGTAGTTGTCCGGTTCCTTCACCCTGACCTAGTTCGATTACAGTTCACCAGTTTATCTCGTTTTCAACAAAATTTATTTCTTAAAATTATTAGGTTTTTTTTTTCTGCAGAAGAAGTTCTTAATTTACATTTTATGGCACGTTTACAGTATAATGAAATTGAGTGATCTATGTAAGAGAATAATAGCAATGGCTTCAAATTTCAGTTAAAACAGATCAGGTGAGCAAAATACTTTTTTACAGTTGCCGAAAATATAGACAGACCGATAGGTGGGCTGGGCCATGGCCACAGGTATGTGTGCTTATAATAAAAATTGACACTACTTGTCTGCATGATACATCTCTAATGACATATACTCGAATGCACGCAGTAAACTTTCGCCCAAAATAGGCATTTGCGTAACAATCTTCATCCACTTATTGATCTATAAAACCCTTAAACATATTTTCTTTATGCGTTGGGCTTTTAAACGTTTCGAGGAAGACTTTCTTCGGCCATTCCCCAATTTGAAGACATTGTTGCTCAATAATATAACTATATGAAGAATGATAATTTATCTCGCTTGATTCAAGTTCTTCAAATGTTTAAATATAGAATATGACAGAAATCAGTATTAATGCGACCTGGAAAACTGAGACTACAACAACTTCCGAGGCGAAAAGTCGAAAAGTCGCTAATAGCGTGGTGTGTTAATTTCCTAATTTCTACTTTTCGAGTTGCATTTTGGCTTGTATAGCGTGTTGGCGCCTTCTTACTGACATCAATAAATACAAAAATATGACTAAGTCGAAAGTCGACAAGACGGTATACAAGCCAAAATGCAAGTCGAAAATAAGAAATTAGGAAAAAACGAGGGGCGCTATTATCGCTGTGTGTTATTTCTTAATTTCCTATTTTCGAGTTGATTTTGGCTTGTATAGCGTGTTGTCGCTTCACATTTTGTCGTAACTTCTACTTTTCGACTTTTCGACTTTCGTGTTTTGAAGAGGCGAAAAGTAGAAATTATGAATGGTAGTTATAGGCTTCCATACGGGCATTACCAGCCGAAGAACATTTTATTTTCCAGAACCAATACCAATTTTTTATCGCCAACAAATTAAGACGTTTAAACGTAGCTGGATTACCACATAAAATTGAAGAATTGAAAGCTGATGTTGAGTTTATTTTCGCGAATAATTTTGATTATTTGAATATGTCTTATTGTGGACTGTACAATCTGAAACGTAAAGTATTTGGACTTGGCAATTTAGAAATTTGGGATGTGAGTGGCAATTCTCTAAGCATCATAAATGCGATATTTCTTGATGAGTTTCCAAATCTTAAGACATTGCATGCAAGTAACGCTCTGTTAGAAAACGATGTCCTTTCTCAGAATTGTCGTAGATTTTTCAGTCTCTTAAGAAAGTTGGAAAATCTCGAACTTTCTAGTAATGGTCTTGTGGTTTTTTTTTTACCTAACGAGTTATTTAACTCAATGGTAACACTGAAAGTACTTAATTTAGCCCAAAATAACCTTATAACTATGGGGGGGGGGGGTGGATGGCTGAATGGTTAGCGTGCGCGCGCTGTATCATAAAGTCTGTCATTGAGTCGACTGGCGTGGTTTCGAATCCCCGATTGTACGTGACAAGGAGTAGGGTCGCCTGTCCAACCTCGTGGGTTTTCTCCGGGTCCTCCGGTTTCTTCCCACTGCTAAAGACCCCTACGCGCAAGCGAATTAATGAAATAAAATTAACCATATGTTAGTCCCGAAATGACCTAGTTTGTGTTGAGTGGACGTTAAACCCCATTTCTCTCTCTCTCCCTTATAACTATACCAGAGGTAACCCAGTTGATTAAGCTCAACTCGGTATATCTTAACCATAATGCAATAACTACCTTAAGGTATCAAACTAGCGACATGTTAGAGAAAACATGCGAACAAAACAAGAAGATTCAGCTGTACCTCTGGGGAAGCGCATTCATTTGTACCTGTGAGGCGATTCCATTTTTTGTTATGGTTAGAAATGTTATAGATCGGGAATACCCACCTCCACCAAAGCAGCTTATAACCAATGGACATTTTTCAACCGAAAATGTGTTTCGTCCTTTTTGCTGAATTTAACTATTGTGGGATTCGCTATCATTGCTCTTAGACTCATAGTAACCTTTGTTTTCATCAAAAACAAAATGAAACTGAAGTTACTACTTTTAAGGATGATTGGAAAATATATTTACCCAAAGAAAAGAGATGATTTTATGTATGACGCATTTATAATATACACGGACTCTATCTCCAGTTGGGTTTGTAATGAACTGAGAAATGAACTTGAACCAAATCGTGGAATCAAGCTTAACCTTCAGGATAGAGATGACCTGCTGGAAGCTATACGTTACAGCTGGAAGATTGTTTTAATCTTAACTGAAGAATTTTTAAGAAGTGATCTAGCCTATATTGCTATGTCTAACACCCCAGAGATTAATAGTTTTAATCGATCATCAGATAAATCTAACGGCTAATCTCGATTTTTTTTCTTGAAGCTGCCACTGAGGATAGCATTCTAAATATAGATCTGCGACATCCATTAACTATTGCTTTCTGGGACAGGATATCCGATATCATAAACCAAAAGAAGGTATAAAAGTATAGCGTAAAATTCCAAATGAAAAATATAAACATTTCGCGTGCTAATATGAAAATATAAACACTTTGCTTGCTGCTATGAAAATATCATAGCCAATTTTGACATTTACAATTGTTAAATGTAGTTTACTTGACTATCGCTACTTATAAATTAAGACATCTGGGAGACATAGGAAAACTGAGGTCCCGTGTACACCTTGGCGTGGGAAATTTTGTCCGGACAGCGGCGCTACAGCCTATTCTTATATCGAATTCCAACTGTCAAGGGATCTTTTACGTGCATGCCAATGTGTACATGGGACCTCGGTTTTTCGTCCAATGAAACATTATGTCCATTGCCAGACACTCTGTCCTGCACCACTGCATGTTGTTCTAATACATTTCTTTCGTCATTTTATTCGTTATGTATTTTAGCACGAATAGAATCAAGCATGTTATGATTTTTCACTATAATAAGTAACGAAATACATGTAATACACAAATTATGACTACATTTATGTTGTCACTAAATGTATCAAAATAAATTAAAGTTTAATTTTATCTCGGGATATTGTAGTACACATTGATTTAATTATGTGCGTTTAATTGTTGAATAAAACATTAACTTTATACCCATTGTTTCGTCAAGCAAGAAAGAGACGGATTGTTTGATCTACCAGCACTGCCATTTGACCATGCATTGTTACATTAAAAAGAACAAACGAATACAGTTACGGCATCATTCGACTTGGCACTATTTTAAGCAACAGTTGACTACTCACCTTTCTAATTGGGATATCTTGAAGACGGTATTCATTGTAGATGTACTCAGGGCTGTCAATAACTGAAACAAAAAAATAAAAATACTGCAGACTAAATGCAACTGGTTTACTATTCTGTTCAGACTGAGCTAATGAAGACGGGCATACTCCATACAGGGAGATTTGAGGGAGATTTTGTCCGGACAGCGGCGCTAGGGCCTACTCTAATATCGAATTCCAACTGCCAAGGTATCTTTTACCTGCACGCCAATGAGTACACAGGACCTCGGTGTTTCGTCCCACCGGAACAACTAGACAGCTATCCGCGACCGCCAGGCTAACGAGCCAGCTTCTTACTCACTTAGCCACCGTGGCTCCTTAAATCATAACGTCCGTCAAGAAGTGACGGGTCATTATTTCAATAATTCTCTTGCGCGTGGTGGTGAGTGGAGATTGGGGGTGGGGGGGATTCTACTCCTTATCAAGTAAAAACTTGACCAGGCCACTTGTCTAAATGACAAACCTTATGATCTAAAGCGAGCGCGTTAGATTTCTCGGCCAAGCAAATCCTCCGTAATGCAATTGCACCATTTATATCGCATACTTTTAGACTTTAGACAAGTAGAAGCTATAAGACATCGTGTTCATTATTATAAGCCAAGACAACGGACAAATACGGAAACTATGCTAAACCTATTCCTGCCTCAAAATAATATAACATCACTACGGAGCACAAACTCGTCTTTCAATGGTTTGTGCTTCTATAAATTAATCACCAAACGATAGTCATTTATCAATAATTAGACATTTATATTCCCTTTCCACCTGCAAAATAATGGTTTTCCCTAACACAGCACGATATGAAAAACAAATGGTCACGAGACGTTTTGTAATTCTGTTGCATATGTCTTTTATATGCATACAATCTGAGATGACTTTTAATATGTTGAATGCCTTATGATGACAAAACACAACTCTTTATAAATACAGATTGTTGGATTATTTATAATTTAGTAGCAGCAGTATCAGGTATGATTTGTTAACAAGCTGAAGGGGACACTTATTTTCGCGTCATATCTAATAATATGTAAATCAACTTTACCTGTGTTTTGAAATATAACAACAAACAGCATACAGGTGCAAATTACCACAATGGCGTTTCTTCTAACAAGTCGTGCGAATAACATCCTAACGCTTTGTTTATATTTACAACAACGCGGGGCGCGTTTGATTGGAGAGGGAGCAGCACAATGTTCTGGTTAGTTCTGCGCAACATAACGTTGATCTTGCGTTAGAGCATTGACTCCTAATAATCACTCGGGCACAAATTTATTATTAGAGGTCTTCTTTCCATATATATTTATATACAATGGCATAAATTCCTTTATGGCTGTAGGATTAATGGCAATTAAAGGGACAGTCCCGGACTTAACGTGAACTTTAGTTTAATTTTATTAGTTTGCCTGTGGCTTTAAACATTAGGGACACGTTTATAACCGTGCAGGTTATAGTATAATTTAAATCTTGAATATTTAAGATAACGCATTATTAATTTTAAAAGTGAAACCCTTCAGATTGAATTTATTTAAACTCTCGGGACAATAACTATTCCATTCCTTTAAAACATTAATTATAGGTGTGCTATTGAAAGGTGACTAGCCAATGATGAAATGTTATGTAATGCTAATGACATGTTAAATTATAATAATCCCTTATTGTTTGTAAAACTTTTACAGACAGAAAGTAACTGTTAATAATCGTGAACATGCCAATCGTATGATTAATCTATTAATTGTTTTATTTACCATTGTTTTATTTCTTGGTTACATCTCACTGTGCCCACTTTTGATTAATCCAATTAAGGTCTAATTAGGATTAGTGTATTAAGCGGATTAGGATTAGGTGTTATAGGTAATTAGATGGAAAAAAACAAATATTGAAAGTGACTAAATATTCAGTCTTATAATTGGTGAGATGAACTCACTGTAATCGTTAAAGTGATGAATTTTATTCAAAAAATGACACTTGAATATAATATGAATTATGTTCAGTAAGCCTACACATTACACGGTCTTTATAAGGACACACAGAAGTCAGTCTGTCATATTTCATCATGGCAAACGTTCAAGTAAACATCCAGTACATCCCCAATGCTCAAGGTGGAGAAAACTTAGTCCATGAAGAATACAAATTCCGAGTGAAGAATAGGAAGGCAGAACGAGTATACTGGAGATGTTGTATAAAAGGTTGTCCAGCAACCCTGAACACCCACCAAGGCTTTATTACCAAATATTCCAGAAACCACAACCATGTTGCTAACCCACACAAGGTGGCAGTCGACAAATTTCTCGTTGCCATGAAAACGAAGGTGCAAGAGGAAACCAAACCAGTCTGTGCCAGTCTATGTTGAGTTCCTCAGATGTGTTAGAGACAAAACATTGGCACTTGTCAATGTTAATCTTAACCCAGGCCATGTGTTTACAGATTTCGAAGTTAGTATGCAAAATGCTGTGAGAACTGTGTTGCCGAGGTCAGAACTAAAAGGTTGTTTTTTTCACTTTGGTCAGTGTATTTGGCGCAATGCGCAGAAATATGGACTACAAGCAGATTTTTCTCGGGTGCCAGAAATCAATAAACTCTTCAAGCAAGCAGCAGCATTACCATTAATTCCAATACAGCAGGTTGAAGATGTATGGCTGCATGCCCTTGATGATGCACCACTCCAAGATGCCAGAGTGTTGCAATTTGCAGATTACGTAACTGAGTTCTGGGTGGAGGGGCAGCATGGCAGAATGATGTGGAACCATTTCCACACTGAAGGTCCACGCACAACGAACCATGTTGAAGGATGGCATTCCAAGATAACATCCATTATTGCCACCCCTCACCCAAATATTTTTAAGTTGGTGGCTTTTTTTAAGAATGAACAAGCTTACTCCGAAGTAACCATTCTCCAGTTAGGTGCCAACGGAAAATTACGGCCTAAGAGAAGAAAGTACAGGCAACTAGAAACCCGACTCCAAACTCTGAAAACAGATCTTCAGAACGGTATAAAGACTGTATTCGAGTATGCCGATGGCGTAGTCCGTTTAACTACATTGTAAATTTTCATTGTTTATCTTGTTTTTGTGTGATGTATGATATACCCATGTATGTTATACTTTTATTACATATTTTATATATAAAACATCGAAATTTGTTATATTTTCATTAAATTATAAAGTGCTAATGTGATGTATGATATATCCATGCATGTTATATTTTTATTACATATTTTATATATAAAACATCGAAAATTGTTATATTTTCATTAAATTATAAAGTGCTAATTTGATGTATGATATATCCATGTATGTTATATTTTTATTAAATATATATAAAACATCGAAAATTGGGTTTTTTTCCATCTAATTACCTATAACACCTAATCCTAATCCGCTTAATCCACTAATCCTAATTAGACCTTAATTGGATTAATCAAAAGTGGGCACAGTGAGGACACACCTTATTTCTTATATTGTACATTATTACATCAATGCTTATTTATGTCAACACTTGGTCTAGCCAGGTGATTAGAAGTAATTCCATATATAAATATGTGAGTGTACTTGATACGTCAGTCATTTAGGTCTATCCGACTTAGTAGCATAAAGTACTAGTCGGTTATCCGCGGTCCTGTAAGTGTATGTAGATAATTGTTATAATAACTTTCCAGTATTAAAGATTTGAAGAACCATTCCAGACTCCTGTAATCTCTGACGGACCTCAGGGTCACACTTTTATAAGACGGTGAAAAAAAAAAGAAACCAGTAAGCCTTCGCAGAATCGGAACCTCCAAGGATACGAGAATTTTCACACAGTTTCCGACACTGAATCTGCTACATCGCTGAAATAACTTCGACATATTTATTCATAGTTGTATACAAAACGACACACCTACCACTGAACGTAAATATTTTCGGCACAATCACCAACATAGCCGCTTTTGATCAATGTATGAATACATGTGAAAAATCGCACAAACTGATGAAAGTTGGGAGTATCTCTCTGACGTTTTTCTGGCTTAATGCTGGGTATACTCTTAAATACATGGATTAGTATTTTAATTAAAATGGTTTAGGTATTGTAGACCAGGGCATTCCACAACTCTAATGGAAACTCGGGGTTATTAATAGTGGATTATATTGTCTTTCTCTTTATTCTTTTATTGGGAATGGTTTTTGTCTGATAAATATTAATGAGGCTGAGAAATCTGGGGATATACAGATATCCATTTTAGGAATTTCTTATGAACCTATGACATTTTCACTATTGGTTCATTGGGCTTTGCGAGACGTCCCCCCTCCCGCCACTTGAATATTTTGAACAGATAACTGGGACACACTGTCTTTTTCTGCTTATATAAAGGTTAGACTCTATGCAGAATGCACAAAGAACAGTTACAGGCCCAGGTGGTGCATGCAAATTACATTATATTATTCAATGGGGATTTAATTAGTAGCCTTACTCCATAAAGTAGTTACCTCCCTTCCTACCCCCACGTTTACTTTTCTATTTTTAGAATTAATAAGTCAAACATATGAGATGTTTGTTTGTCCAGGCTTCTGTATTGTCAGTGTACTTAGAGATTGCTATCCGATTTAAGTCTATTTCGTGGAGGTGAGATGGGGGATTTTACACGACCCTATATTATTAAGCATTAATTTGGTAAGAATGTCGTATTTGAGCTTACAGTCCCACTACTGAAAATATTTTAGAGGGAAAATAATTGATAATTTAATTGTAACGGTACTGCGCGAGACGTTTTGAGTGTTGTCTGAAATGAGACCCGTTATTCGAGAGTAAATTACAGTCAGGGGAAATGCAATTGAAAGTAGCTTAATTAGGTGGTATTATTATAATTCGTTATAGAGAATCGATATCACCAGTGGTAAGACGTTTTTTCTTTCCAATCATAAGATCAATAACATTTTGTATTGCTGTTCTTTTACATCTTCAGTATCGTAACAGCGGACAATCTCCGATACAAGCATTTTATAATTCTAACATTAAATTGTTCGTCCATGTTACATAATAATCCACAGATATGATAGAAAGCCAGACTATTTTTGTGACTGTTTAAGACCTAGGGCTTGGCTCGTAGCAAATTCCTGTAGCAATGGCCCGAAGGGTATTTTCAAACGGGACACTGCGAGGAGTATGAGCTTGAAGGTACTGTAGACTGAGACAAACTGCCTTCACTTCTATACATTTTCAAATTATGGTCACATGCTCGCTTATCTTCTGTAAATTTCCGTAATTCAGCGTAGTATTTTCCTATGCTGAACATAATAAATTGCCTGCAATAAGAATAGTGTTTTTTTATAATCCTGCCCTAACACATAAATGACGAAAATTGTCAGTCTATTTCTTAGAACCATTTCGGATAGCCTGTCCGACATTGTGGTTTTCGCCGGTTTCCTCCCACTTCGAGTGTCCCCCTGCGCGAATTATTGAAATATAAGTGTACCATAATAATGTTAGGCTCTCTCTCCATGTCCGATACTTTGTTAGTGTCTATTTATACCTATCCCTTAGATAACATTCATGACTACTTCATCGTGATAATGCTTACATGTATTTGTTGACTTTGTGTCCTGGTTAGATATTATGCATTGTGTAAATTACTGGAGATAATAAAACAACAACAAAAAAAAAAACCCAACATAATTAGCACCTTATGTATATTTTATGTCATTATTTTATTCATTTATTCTAGGAAATTATCAATTTATTAAATCATTGATTATGTAGTGCATACGTGCACACACATAATATCATCATTAATGGAAAGTGAACACGGGTGGGGTCACGTAAATAATGGCAAACTGGTCCGCAGTGGATCTTACGTTGATATATTAATAAGAAATGACGTGTGGGAATTTCTACACATTGTTGTTGTTCATAGTGTTTAACGCCCTCTTTCACCGAGGGTGATATCGCAGACAAGTTGTCTTTATTTTCTTTTTATTATCTTAGCACACGCATAGGGGACTTTCCTGTGGGAAGAAACCGGAGTACCCGGAGTTAACCCGCGAGGTTGAGAAGGCACCCCTATCTCGAAGCTAGGGCTCGAAGCGCGACACTCTAGACCACTAGACCCCCCCCCCTAATTTCCATGTATGCGAATTGAATCTGTAATATGTAGGTGGACTATATTTTAAAATTTTGACCCAGAAAACAGATTACACCACAGTACCCGGCGTGCAAGTTTATATTCGTGATCATAGCCGGATATAAGATAGTTGAACACGTGTGATACTAGGATATGGATAAATATAATTCTTTACTATTAGTTGTTAACTAGATCTACGTAACAGGACGTTACTACATATCTACTTATTGGGTGAATATACTAGCAAAAAGTAGTCAAATAAGTTCACATTTTTGATTGAACAACGCTGCATCTACATGGTAATTTCTATTTTATAACGTGAGTATTAAATCTATATACACGAGTATGTACTATGTAGAGGATCGTGGGGTGCTGAAGTTTCTTGTTTGAGGATTGTGTGATTAAAGGTGTTTATGTCATAAAAATGTGTTTTTAAAAAAATGATTATTACATGTATTTCGTTATGGTTTGAGTCGTCTTCGTAATACTATTTATTCGTATTTGCTTAAATTTTATTGTCCGTTAGGGGGGGTGGGGGGCGAATGGTTAGCACGTGCGTGCTGTACCATACGGCTTGCCATTGAGTCAACTGGCGTGGATTCGAATCCCTAGTTGTACGTGACAAGGAGCCTGTCCGACCTCGTGGGTTTTCTCCGGGTCCTCCGGTTTCCTTCCACTGCTAAAGACCCCTGCGCGCAAGCGAATTATTGAAATAAAATTAAATGACCTAGTTTGTGTCGAGGTGGAGTGGACGTTAAACCCCACCCCCCTCTCTCTCTCTCTCTCTCTTGTTCGTTAATATAATCTCTCTGGGATTACGATATATATTCCTGAAGCAATGGTAACGAGAATTAATAACCTTTTCCACCCTTTGAAACGGTAATTGTTTCCATTGGTCCTCTATTGGTTACTTCACACGTGTTAAACATGTAACTGTTGTACAATATTCAATAGGCCATCGATTAACTTTTTCGGAAATGAAGAGTTCAGTTCATCTGGAAGTAGACGTATAAGGGCATAATACCAAGTACATGCCCGTGTTTATCACCCCTATATCGACGTAGGAACCGGACCCAGATAACAATGTATTAAAAAGTTATTTGATTAGTTTTCAACCCATCGGGGTATCGACCGAAAGTGCTTATTTCGTTTCTTCTTGCGTAGTTTTTGTATTCGTCAAGTGTAAACTATAAGTTAATCTATACAGTTATATGGGACAACAATCACTGGTTTATTATACACAAGCACGACGTTTCGATAAGTATTATCTTATCGTTATCAAGCACAATGACATTTAGTAAACTTGAGGGTCTATATATATGTACAATGCGAAACCATTCTTATTACTAATCATTAGAAGAGTTCAACCAATTAACAGACATATTTAACATCAAAGACCTGAAAAGCACCGTGTGATGACAAGGATATAGTTGTACATGAACCTTAAAACCACCCTGATATTGAAAAAGAAAAATGATTAGGGGGAAACCATACATTAAACAAACAGTATATAACAGATAGAGCTTATAAACACACGGTCTTGTAAATAAAACCACATTCACAAAATGTTATGAAAACAAAGCATAATAGCACTAAGATAACACAATAAACTGATCCAAGGGTTTGAAGGATCTAATATAGGCTTATTATAATATACTAAGTAAACATAGTAATCACAATTCAAGGTGTTAAAGTTCAGAGAATATATGTTATTAAAATTTAATAACTGGGGGGGGGGGGGGAATCAAAAATATACATAATTAAAAGTGATAACTGGGGGGGGGGGGGGGAGAAAAATCCATTAGACCACTTGTATGTAACTGATAAGGGCTTATAACACCGGATCTTGACTGAAAAGTAATTCAGCATAATATCACAATAACTTAAAAGGTTATTAAAACACAGCATAATAGCACTAGGATAACACAGAAATCGCGAGCTAAGGCGTTGTAGGTTGATATTGGGCTAAAACTGATTGGACTAGGTTAACATAGTGATGTGCGATTAACGTGTTGTAAGTTCAAAAATAATTATTGAGAGTTAATGGTTACCCATTGTAGGGTAATTGACTGATTTGATAACTTCATCATATGCCCTCGGAATAAATAGTCCCAAATCTTTGTTTAATTCTGGAGAAAATCTTTTGATGTTAATGGCTTCTTTTAACTTCCTAATTTTCTTATTGTTTTGGTTAGCAGCCAGAATTTTTACCTTATCCCAGTCTATTTTGTGTCTTGGATGGTCTTTCAAGTGTTCGGCTATGGCTGATATGTTGGTTGGGGCTTTGGACTTGTGTTCTGAAATTCTTTTATCCACTGGTCTTTTGGTTTCCCCGATATAGGTCTTATCACATGAGCAGCTAATTTTGTAGATGGCCCCTTTTGGTTGCACGGGAGTGGTAGGTTGCAGTTTTCCACTGGCGTTTAAGATCTGTTTGAGGGATGTGGGGATCGAGAAGGACGTGTCAATGTTGGATTTCTTTAGTAATCGGCTGATCTGGTAAGTGAGATTTCCATGGAATGGTAGGGTGATTCTGATAGGGGAATTTTCTTGTTTCTGTTGGTTGCTTATGCTGTTTTTTAGGGTGGCCTCAATCTGTCTATTAACTATGGTTGGGGGGTAATTATTTAGGTTGCAGAAAACGTTGCGTAAGTATTCTAATTCATGATCAAGATACTCTGGTTCACATATGTTGATAGATCTGCGCACTAAGGTGGATATCAGGGCTGTTTTAATATAGTGGGGATGGCTGGAATTATAATTAATGTACTGGTCTGTGTGAGTTGGTTTACGATAAATCTTAGTTTTCAGTTTGTTGTTTTGTTTGTGGACATGGACATCTAAAAATGGAAGGGTGTCTTCTTCCTCTGTCTCTATGGTGAATTTGATCCTGGGGTGTTGGTTGTTTAGGTGATCAAGCAGGGCCATTGGTTCATCTTGTTCTTTCAAAACAACAAAAGTATCATCTACCTTGCGAAGCCCAAACCAAGGGGGTAATGGGGGACGTGCTGAGGGTGCGTTCTTCAAAATGTGTCAAGAAGATTTCGGACATGATCGGTGAGAGGGGGCTTCCCATTGGTAACCCATGTATTTGCTGGTATATGTCATCCCCCCAGGTGAAGTAAGTGGAGTCAAGGCACATGTTTATAAGTTCGATGATGCTGTTAGTTGTTAATTTGGTATCAAGTGGAACTTCTAAATTGTCAATTCGGGAGCGGAGAACTTCTGTAGCTTCATGGCGGGGAACGTTGGTAAACAGATCTGTTACATCATACGAGACCATACATTAATTATAATTCCAGCCATCCCCACTATATTAAAACAGCCCTGATATCCACCTTAGTGCGCAGATCTATCAACATATGTGAACCAGAG